ATATTCATCGCCCTGATGACGGAGGCAGTATGACCTCTGAAACGTTGGTTAACATCGACCAGACTACACAGCGCAATAACCCAGAAGACAGAAATCTTCATATTCACCGCTGTGAGAACCTCAAGTCTTACACTGTTGTTTAGAAATTTGATAAGTAAATCATCACATTGAATAATAGTGAATCGATTGGGCCAAAATGAAATTTTTGCAGCCTTTCATATAGACTTCTGATATATGATAACTCATTACATTGTTTGGGAGATCAGAGTTCAGTCATGCATTAACAGACTGACAGGACCTCTCCATTATACATTTATTTTATGCATGAAGTACAAAGTATACTGAAGACTTAGTAAAACTTTTACTTCCCTGTTGTGACAGATATTTGTATTATTCATGTCAAGTTTTGTCAACTAATATTTTATTAATTTTACAACATTTCTTTTGGAGATTTGTTTGAAATTCCTGTGTAGTGGTTTATATTATAATTTTTTCTCCAATTTGAATACTTAATCAGAATACTTGTCTTCAGTATATGCCCCCTGGCAAGCTGCAGTAAGTATATGGTTTTGTTATTTTCATGACAATAATTTTGTTCATTCAGGAATATATTTTGCTTTATTCAACCAAGTTCTGCAAGAACAGAGTTGAGGTCTTCTTGTAGTCTCAGAGACATCTCTTTCTGCTTGAAGAGGTCATCTTTGATTCGATCTATATTTGCTTTTAGCAGGTAGTTGCCCTTGCGAAGAGCTGCCAGGCAGTTCTCATGCCTTTTGCCTCTTTCAGACAGATTTTGCTTTCTTTTTTCTGCTGGAGCATCTTGGGGTAGGTCACCATCACTTACTTCTTCTTCTGATTCCTCACTTTCACTTTCTGACTCTGATTCCTCACTTTCCTCAGGCTCTTCTTCTTCCTCACTTCCTTCATCATCATCCTTCATTAGATTTGCCATTTTATCTACCTCCTTCTGAAGAACTTTATACTTCTTTCTCTCCTCGCTCAGAATCTGAAAGAATGGTTTGATCGTGTGGAAATAGGGTGAGATTGTAAAAGAATGCAAAATTTTATGTTTCTTTCTTTATGAAAGGGAAAGCAATTTCAGGGACTTGCATATCTCTATTTTTCCATCAGTCCATCCACTCATTCAATTGACAGAATTATTGCCTGTGTCAGACTATCTATAGCTGTCCAGTATATTTTTAAACTAACAAGAAAGATTTTGATGAACCTCATGAGTATTAACGCCATGCTTTCAGGGACCATAACATAACTTTTAGATGATTAAACTTGTATAAAATGACACTCATGCTCAGGATGGGCCTTGGAAACATGCTGGCCAAATGGAAAACTTTAGATCATTAAGTTTTCATTAATATAACTTCAGGGTAAACTATCATGATTTGTTATGAGTCTGTCCCCAGTAATTCTGCTAGCAACTTTTTGACATTATGGTGATTAACCCTTTAAAGCTGAATCTCATGAAAATATATTTAAACATTTAGTCCCTACCTCAGAGAAAACACAAAGCATATCCATTACTATGATTAACGCTGCTTAGGGGAATCATCTCTCTTCATTCTGAGAATCATACTAAACCCATAAATGCACTGATTGTTGAAGTTACATGTGGTTTACCAGTGGGCTTTTAAATGGTTAATGTAAATTTGTACCTTTTGTTGCTTCTTAAGTTGATCCCGGAGTGAGTGCCTTTCTTTCCGTGTTACTTCTTCCTTCTCTTTGAATGATTTGAGCTTTGTAGCAAGCAGTTTCAGTTCTCGAGCTGTCCTCCTCTCCTGAAGTGCCTCAGCATCATCTTCCTCAGAAGAGGACTCAGTTTCTGTGTCCGTTTCTTCTTCATACTCTGACTCCTCCTCATCATCATCTTTTGATTGTTGTTGCATGTTACTGTTGCTTTCTTTAGCAGGTGCTGCCAACTTCTTAGTTGATGGCTGCTTCCTTAGGGGTTGCTCACTGCCCTTATCCTTAAAATAAAAACAGCCTCTCTTAGTATTTCACACTGATTATTTTATATGTGTGGGGTTCCACTGCAGTAAACATGCTGTTTGTTAACTGAGAGGTCTTTGCCTATAATGAATTCAAGGAATTTGGATTTGGTTTCCAAAAATCAACAGTCCTTGTATAGGACTTTAATATTTTCCAAAAATGAGTCAGTGTATGAATTTCCATATAAAGAATTCAAGAGATCAAATTGTCATTTTCTTTATAATGGAACATTTGAATGAAAATTAAGTTTTACAACATTGATGACAATATGACACCGTGTTTCTTAGCTTACTGACCTGTGTATGTTAGAAGAGATTTTCAGATACTTCCAATTGTTTGTCAAGAGGTGGCTGTGTTAGAGCTCATGAAAGAATTTAATTATAGACCAAGTGATGCATTATAGTTTCACTATCCTAGGAATTCAGTTAGTTATAGATATTCAATTCTTTTTTATTAGTGAATTGCATCAACAGCCGCATGGCCAATTACAGATAGAGCCCAAAAACAATAAAATTATCAACAATTTACATTACTATAATGAAAGTTAATGCACAAAGGCAAGTAGCAAGGAAAAAAAGGATTTTTTAAAAAAGTATATTGCATTGAACTCAACTGCTTACTAAATATGAAAATATCTTTACAATATTAATTCAGGCATCCCTGCAGACAACATTAGCAGCTGATTTACATCTGGTTGGAGGATTATTATTAATTGAAGGGCTGAAGTTTCTGAAAAGCTGAATAGGGACTTGAAGGCCAACAGATTTCCCTGCACAGGGTCAACGCCTTGAACAGAAGTTCTCAAGTGTGACGTTTTTGAGGCTGCATTCAGTTTTAAATAACATGTTGGTATAGATATTCTAAAAAATTTCACTTGACAGCCGCAAAGTATGAAGACTTCATCTCCTTTTCTTGTAGTATGAAGATTAATCAATAGAACCTCACAGACATCACATTACAAAAGAAAATTATTACACAAGTTAAGGAGAATCAGAAAATTAGTTATGGAATATAATGGTACTGAGTTCATTTGTATTACACAAAAAGAACATACATCCCAAGTTTGGAAGAGTACTTGTTACCACTGTCAGGATGTTAATTTTTGTATTGTTAATGAAGTAGCTAGTGGCATCACTCAAGAGCCAGTGTGATCACATTTTAGATTTAAGTCTTACAGAGGGAGAAAGGATTTGTAAATACTATTAAAAGTAAGGAATTGACTTTCCATTCTTCAGATTGAAAATACAAAAATAAAAATGAATATGCATGAGTTGTATACATTTTTCATACCTATATTAAAAATATTTTAGCAGGGTCATATTGCACTATTAACATTGATATCCCTATATTTCTTGTTTTCCAGGTAAATATAATTTTTGTGTCTTGATAAAAATCAGTGTCAGATTTTTACTTGCTGTGTGCTAGTTTTTTTGTTCAGCATTAATGAATATCAGTTGACCTTATAAGTCTAGGGTAAACAATGTAGGACATGAAAAATAATTAATAAAGAGTATGGAAATTTGCATGAAAATGAAAGATAAGACCAAATTTTAATATTCTATAATTTATTTTCAGATTATCTTTGATGTGTGTAATATTTTTTCTTTGCAATATGATGTCTTTGAGGTTTTATAGATTAGCTGTTATCCCTTTATCTTACAGGAATAGGTGAGGCTGTCAGATGTACTGAACTCCAGAGTTGACAGTTTAGCAATATGCTGCTGCAACACATGGCCAGCTGGACTGCATGTATGTTATGACACACAGTCAATTAATGTTAATCCCTTTTGTTTACCTGGTTAAGGAGACTAACTTGTAGTTTCCTTTCAAGTGCCTGATTTTTGCGGAGAACTTCTTCCAGGTCTGCCCGTACCATGTCTAGCTGACCTGCCGTGTCATGGTATTTTATCTCCATTTCTTCTGCTGACCTCTGTGCCACCTCCAGTTTCTTCTCCAGTTTATGTTTCTCCTGTACCAAGAATCTTATGAGAGACTTGAATCTTTATAATTAAAAGTGTCTGTAAGTTTTATGTTCATTTAGTGTCATTGATTATTTGACTGAAGGGTGTGGTGATTATATTTAATTCGCTAAACTTCATTTATTGAATTAATCAGCAACAAGATTATCCTTTTTCTGTTATCTGACCTGTTCATCCGCCTCACTCTTGGCCTGAGGTGACTTCTCCTCTGTCTGCATTTTGGCTGCTCGTTCTTTCTCTATCTCAATTTCCAGGTTTAGTATCCTGGTCTGTAAACAATACAATTTCAGACCATTAACAGTAACAGGAAAATGTGTCATATATGTTATGTGTCAGTCTTCCTTTATTTGATCTCTTCTTCTTAAAAATAAAAGAATTAGGTACAATAAAAGGAAATTCATATATATATGTAGGACTCCAGAAATCTGCTTGTTTATTCACCATGGGTGGGTAATGGGGATTGGGGGAGGGGCATGTATAAAAATTCTTGAATAAAAAATGCTGTAGGACTATGTGTGAATGCATTTTGTTCTAAGGCTGGCTGAGTAACTACCAATACCAGAATCACTAAAACTTGCCCGAGGCTTTTATGGTTTTCCTCAGTCCTTACAGGCAGAGGCTTGAATAATACTGTAACCTTTATTGTACAGGAGAAGGTAATTTAATCTCATGAAATACAGGGCTGCTGGCCAGACTTTAACTCGAGGGTTAACAGTTTAATGGTATACTAATGGAAAGCACACTCAGGTGATATGTGCATTAAGATGCAGTGCACAGTTGATAAATACAATATGCTGTGACTGCTTCCTTTCATATCTTTTCTAATGCATAAATCACAAATCATCCTACCTTCGGCACTAAATAACTTAAAGCAGTTGAAAAGTATAATTAGATAAACCAAGATTCAATTGTGGCTTGGTTAACTTGCCCAGTTTGGTGATCTTGAGATATGTGAATGGTGCTGTATTAAGGACTGGTAAGAAATTCATTGTCATCTATTTCAGGATTCCACAGTACATCCCAAAGGGATAAAGCCCAGTAATCTGATTAGTATAGTTTGAAACCCTGGTCTCCTGAATGCAAACTAGATGTGTTTTGGCAGTTTTACCAGAAGCTTCTTATTCTCTCGCTCCATGGCCTCCTTGTTCCTCAATTCAAGTGCAAGCATCTGTTTTGTTGATTGAAGATCATCCCGCACTTTGTCAATATCATCCAGTTCATCAGGCTCTACTTCATTCTCTTCAGTCTCTGCTTTCTGGATTTGCTCCTCTATTGTCATCTGGCGACGGAACTTGCGAAGGCCTGCAGGTAGATACGGTATGTTAGTGTATGCTTTAAGTATTGTGTGCCTAAGTTCTTTATCTTACATCATAATTTCTTTGTTGGGTGTGAAATCTAAGAGAATCTTTGTTAAATGTGAAATTTGAGAGAATATTTTTCAGATATGGTAAGCATGTTCATATAAAGAGGTATATTCTATCATTCTTCCATCATTTTGATACTGAAGAAGTATACTTGATGAATTAAAAACATTTAACCCATTTAATAACTCAGTGATCTTTAAATAAATGGGATGTTTATTGAATTCATGTGGCTTGAGTTAGGATGCAGTGGCAGACTCTTGTGAACACAGTAATGGACCTTCAGGTTCCACAAAAGGTGATGTGTTTCTTGTATATCTGAGTGACTGCTACCTTCTCTCAAGAACAACTCTGTTCCATGGAATCAGTTAATGCTAATGAGTATGTTTCAATGATTCATGAGCATAGTAAAAGGCCAAAGAGCTAACCCACCAGTGTGAATCTTTGACCTTTTACATTTAAATGTGGTTAGAGGCAGTGTAGTTTGCCTTTTAAAGTAGCACTGAAGATTTATGCCCATATTCTGTTTGTGTTTTTTGAGATCTTATCTATTCACTTGAGGCCATAAAATAATACCTTCTCTGATTTTTAGTGTTCGTCAAGTAGACTGGAGACTAACTCCATGGAGTAGAGTCCTCATTGAAATATTTTCTACTTTTTATGGGACCCAGATGTTAATTAGAGTGTTCACAGTCTTCTGCCACTGATCCTTATCCTGAGCAAGATTAATCCAGTACATACCCTTATACCCTATTCTCCCTTCTACATACAGGTCTTCTAAATAGTCTTTTTCCCTTCATTTCTTCTGACTAAAATTGTATATACATTTCTCATTTCTCCCCATTGGTGCTTCATGCTCCACCCATTTAATTCTCCTTGATTTGATCATCCTAATAATATTTGGTACAGATTACAAATAATGAAGTTCATCATTGCATGCAGATCCAAATATTCCTGTGGATACCTTGTTCTTCAATACTGTAAATATTTGTTCTTCCCTTACGGTTAGTTTCTCACCCATACTAGAAACTAAATCTGTTATAAGTTATTGCTCTCCTTCCCTTATGTGTTATCAGTACATCTGTCTGTCACACATAAAGGAAATTATTTTGTTCATAAAATCACCTACCCATTTGTAAGATCAGTTTTCTCATCTGGTAGAACTCCAGTAAAAATAAAATGCAAACTTTTGGATGGCAAAATGATAACTGTTTTGGTTCTCAACCTTTTGGCAGTAAGCAGTTTTGGGTATGGGACCCATATTGATGGTAGTCCTTAGTGTTAGACTGGCGGTGCTAAATTATGTTAAAAAAATAAAAGAAAATTAGTTTATGGTGAGCACTTACCATCAAGTTGTGGTCTGCTCCTGTCATTTGTTTGAACCCTCTTGAGATTTATTCCTGACTGGATCTCCTTGAGTAGTTGGTTGTGGACGTTGGGTTTTTCTGATTCATACATAAACTGCAATGTTGAAAACATGATTATGATGCATCAGTTAAATTTTGTACCAAATTATGTTAAATTTATCCTGGTTTTAATCCTTTGATAGTAAAATAATTTCTTCTGAAGTACAATGTATGTAGGTGAGATGGGAATTACATGGTTTCTCATGAATATACTCTGAGAATTTTGAAGTGGAAAATATATTTTATATTGACTACAGCAGGTCAGGAAAACTAGAAGCACATGTGTACCTTATGTAGATAAAATTAGGGGCAGTTGAGTGAGTAGTGTAACATAATGAACCAGTGGCAGTTTCAACTTTTGAATAAGAGGAATACCACTTCATCACATATGGTATAAACAGTATAAACATTCAGTCTGGTAAATAATGGTTAGCATTTTCTTATTCTTTTTATATTTTGAAACAAAATTGAAATGCAGTAATAATAAAGCATCTCATTGTGATTTGAAAATGCACCAGACAGTTGTTTACTTGTATGAACTTGTGCATAAACATTTTAATTTTTACCTAACAAGTTTCTGGGGCATTCCATATTCAGTTAAATTGTTAAGTTAACACAGTGTTTTTGAACTATACACATCTTGATGCACTGAGCCATTATAATCCAGTTGTTATCTAACATATGTAAAAAGCACACAATTCATCTATTAAATTGGATTATGTGTTGATGTTCAAGAATATTATTAGAAAATTTACTGATGTACAACCAGTTCAAAACCTAAAATTTGGAAGCATGCCTGTTAATAAGACAGAAAACTGCAATACATTATTTATTGTCTTAACTGTAGTTATTTATATTTGCTTACCCTATCCTTGACTTTGACTTTAGGCAGGAGTGGACTGCTTCTGTCATTGCTTTGGACATGTTTGAGCCTTCGGCTACCTGACTCCACTTCCTTCATCATAGCACCCCAATCAGGGCGTTTCCTGGGTCGACTCCTTAGCGTCTCCAGTTTTTCAACTTTGCTTTCAGACATTGGTGTTATATCTGTTACATAAAACATTTGTTGTTCAGAAAACAATATAGAAAACTCATTATTTCCATTGTCTTTTTTATTTGTATTTTTCATATACCTTTCTATATGACATTATGTGAGTTCAGTTGTTAGGATCCCTTTTAAACACAGGTAATCATCTGTGTGTATGTATTCATTGTTACTGTCCTGAACCATATAAATCAAATCCACGCACTCCAAACCTATTTCCCAAAGATCCATCTTGATATCATCCTACTATATACACATTGGTCTTTTGAGTGGTGTCTTCCACTCAGGCTTTCCAACCAAAATTTTGCATGCATTTTTTATTGCCCCTATACATGCTTAATGCTCCACCTATCTCATCATTTTTGATTTGATCATGCTATTTTAATAATATTTGGTGAAGAGTACAAATTATGAAACTCTTTATTTTGCGGTTTCCTCTTGCCTCTCATTACTTTGTTTCTCCTTGGTGCAAATATTCTCCAAAGCACCCTGTTTTCAAACACCCTCAATTTGTGTTCTTCCCTTAACATGAGATAACTGGCATGCTTCATTGTCTTAGGCAATGGGAAATGTATGGATAAATATCCTGTATTAATTGCATTCTTTGTGAACAGATTTTAATAAAATCTGATATTTACCTTTTTAATGTAAAAATTGTTAATATACTCCTTTCCTTTCCCATTTCCCTGCAGCATTGGCCCTCTCTTACTTTTATTTCAAATGAACTCACTTATTCGATATTTTAATCTTATTTACAATTTTGGAGTATCATTTCAGTGGAATCTCTGAAAAATGATGATTTTTTTTTCACACCCCCATGTTTTTGGCATGAGTGGCCACTATTTTAGCTGTATTTTCTGCAAGAGCTTGGCTTTGATCCAATGTTTGACTTCTTGTGTGCATTTGCTGCTAGGGAATGAGATGGAATGGGTTGACAGGGTATTTCTGGATCATAGAGATCATGATGATCTGGCAGGGAGCCAAGGTATCCCTGTTCAAAAGTGTCTCTGTCTTGTACAAAGCCCAGGGGAATCCAACTTATTGGAGATGTTGGGACTGCAGTTAAGCTAACTGCTAGCTAGTTTGTGTCTGTGTTCAGTTGTTGTAGAAGACCATGTTATTTATCATGATTAAATTCAACAGTAACATTGATTTAAAATGTGATCTTTTGTGTTATGACACTTCTTGTCTTGTGAGTGGTGTTGGAGGAATATATTGCCTTTATCTTCCACCCTGAAGATTGAGGCAATGGTTTTTTTCAAAATGTTGGTAATCACCTACAAGACTACACATGACCCAGAAGACAACATAGAAAGCCTGAAATCTCAAATAACATTTGTTTATGTCTGGTTATTTGGGTTTGACATTCCTTCTCTCAGTAAGAAAAGGAGTCTTAAAATTATCGTCATGTATTTGTATGTCTTCATGAAATGTATTATCAAAGTCATGCCATTATGCTTCATTACAATTTGGTGTATAATTTAAATGTTATTAAAATTATAGTATTACAATGTATCTGCTTTCTTGGGAAGTGTCTATATATATATATATATATAAAGCACTGTACACATAACTTGTGCATATTTATTTGAGGCCAAATCATGATTTTACTTTTTGACCACCAGTCTGCATATTTTATGACTGCGGAAGGATTGGAGAATGTGGAGGAGGATTTATTGTGTATTTGTATTTATGCTTTTTTGGGAGGCTGTGTAATTGTTCCATATAACTTATGATGATGCAGGGTTAAGATGGTGATCATCAACATGGGTGGACAAGAACTTTGGTATAGATCCCCATTACTGTATTATCAAAATCTATTCAGTACTTTGAAAGATGAGACACAACATCACAATTAAAACTGAATGCAGGAATGACAAATGTAAATGTTTATACATGTAGACATATTATATTTTTTGGCGGCAGTTATTTAATACAAAGTAACAAGGCTTTAATCAATCATAATTTGAATTGATCTAAACACTTTTTGTCAAAATATAATAATGCGAAAGTTTGTATGCCCCTGAGTGGCTGTCTCAATAACATCCCGGTAACCCTATGTAACTAGGAGGTGATGGCAGCCAAATTTCTGGCTGTGTGAGTCACATCTTTGAATAACACTAGTATCTACATCATTTAGGTTATGACCACCATGGTGTGCAAAAAACTTGTTCAGCTTAATTGTAGGTGTCCAAACTGACTCATGTTTCTGTCAGTTATTCTTTCAACCTTTTAGGCTGGACCCTGAGTGTGCCTTGAATTTCATACCGATGAGGCTGTATAGGCCTTGTAGTAGGTATCTCACAGTTACTTTTTGCATGTACTGGAGTGAAGTGAGATTCTCATAGTGGTGAAAATGTGGTTCATGTTCTTTTGGATTGTAATGACACTGATATGTAGTCTTATAGTCTTCTGGTGAAGAGCTTATTTCCTTCCTTCTTATTTCATGCATTTGAATGTGAAACAAATAGGTTTTATGAAAGAACAAATACATCATAATTGTCTTGTACATACAAAATTCCACCTTATAGCCAAAATATTCAGTGTTTTCTTTGTCAGTGTTTGTGAGTTCTCGTGCTTTATCTTAATTGTTTTACATATTTTTACTGTAATAATTACTTAAGATGTAGTGAGACTGGGTTAAGCAGAGTCTCCAGTAGCCATAAGAGGCACAACTGCCTACGCAAACCCAAACACCTGGGGTTGAGGTTTTGTTGCTTTTCTTACTGTCAAAGATAATTTGGATAGCTGTTGTCCTGTACATACCTAGTCCTGGCATGGGTGGTGGTGGCATGGGTGGTGCAGGTGGTTCAGGTGGTTTGGATTCCACTTTGTTGTTTTGTTTTGGTTCCTCTTGTAGTTTGTTATTGCTCTTTTGTTTCTGTTCTTCTTGCTGTTTGTTACCGCTTTTTAATTTTTGATCTACTTCCAGTTTGTTGCTGCTTTTTTGTTTCTGTTCTTCCTGCTTAGGTTTGGTTGTACTCTTGATTTCAATAGGAATTTCTTTAACTTGTGATGCCTGAGACTTTGATGACCTTGATCTTGTTTCTGTTGCATCCTGTTGTTTCTTAGAGCTGGTTGGTTTTGAGTTGGTAGTAGCTGTGTTGGAAGCATCATGACCATTTTCTTTGGGAATTGCTCCATCTCCCAGAGGTCTGAAAAGTTTATAGGAAACTAATGATAATCATTACATTTTTGGTATCTCTTTGGATATAAAACAATGGATCAACAGCTGAGGGATGACATATTCCTGGCAGATGAGGAACACATGAAGAGCTGCTAAAGGACATGAGCAGACATAACCTACACTGGAATAGCTGGGTTTATTTACAAATGTCATAAATATCTTAGGTGTAGGAACAGAAAGCAAGAAAGACACGACAAGAAATACAAAGGATAACAAAAATCACAGTTGAAATAGGTGAACACATTAAAAAGTAACAAGAATTTAAGTAAGCAAAGTGTGAAGGGTTTTTGTTCTCTTGTCTTTATAGCTGTTAGGTGAACTGAAATATACAAAGGCATGTTTCATTAAATTTCTCAAATATGGCTCTTGGTGAAAACAAATTTATGTATGCCGTAAATTATTTATCACATTAATTTTTTTGTAACTTTATCCATAAAATGTTATTGGTTTGGCAAAAGTTAAGTGATATAAACTTGAAAGTATATTTACAAATACACATTTTATAAATTAAAAAAGGTGTTTTTGTTTTAATGGTGCATCTGATATTAAATATTTATCTTTGTAAATTGTCTTTTTTATATATTTTTTATTTAGTATTTATTATAATACATGTATTGTACTTCTCATTACCTGAAAGACTCATGCGACTCTGTATGCGTTATATCACATGCTACCCTATATAAGTTTTCTTTAGGTTTTGTATGTTTTGTTGAGAAGCCCTGAAGTTATTTGATTTGGTTTAAGTTTTTGACAACATTTAGTTTTATGCTGTTTGATATATAAAATATTCTCTGTGGCTTATGTCATTAATTACACTGTGAAAATGGATCTGTGCTGTATTGTGATCTTAAGCTAGAATTTCAATTTTTAAACATATTTTTTGTTTTCCGAAAGTTCGTGGAAGTGAAACCACATCTTCTCTTCCCTGGACTCATCCATTATCCTACTCCTGGAGTGTTAATGAATGTACTGAACTGTGACCACAATTATACTGCTTTCATTGATTTGTACTTGGTAAGTGAGGGATATACTTACCTAGATGGTATTATGGTGATCTTGCTGGTCTTCCTGACAGGTGGGAGCTCATTGTTGGCTGCCCCTGATGATCCACTGCTGTTGCTGGAATTGTCTGCTGCTGCTGCATTGTTGCTTGTAGCTGTGGAGTTCTTACGTGACACGGGCTTCAGGGTGGTCTTTACAGGAACTGCCTCCTGAGCTTCAGGTGCTGTGAAGGTAAGATCAAGCATTCTTAGTAGCCTGTTTATTCCCAGGTTACAGTTAAATTGTTTTTCAAGTTTTTTCATGGCTATAGAGGAAAAATAACAAATCAGCAAATGTTTAAAGAATATTATTGAATAATATGCAAACTGTTTGTAGAATTTTTAATAAATTTCCAAGTTTAAGTAAATTTTCCTTCATAAGGTGATAAGTAAAGGTGAAAAAGGTTACGAACCTCCGATTCACAGGGTAAAACTTGAAAAGAAGTAATCTGGGAATACTTTAAGCATTTCTTGAAGTGACTGAAAAAATCACAAAAATTCTACTATAACAGTCAGTGTCATTTATCCGCCTGTTCAGGCTTCGTATTGCCTGTTCACAGACTAAGACCTCAATCAGCAGAGGGGGTTGTCTACACAAGAAAATCTCCAATATCCACCAGTATTTAAGGGCACCAAAACAAATTTTCTGGAATAACATTGCAACTTTCAATCTGTGAAACTTCGTCACTTTAAAACCTCATCTCAGATTTATGTAGCCATGTTTGACCTCATTTTCTTTCTGTATTGATTCTTACCTCTTTGCCGTGTACGAGCTAGAGTCCATGGTGCTGTTGGTAGGGGGAGGGGCTCAGGACCCTCCTTGACCCATGGAGGTCTAAATGTTGTCCTTTGTTGTTGCTGGGGCCCATTGGAGGCAGCGTCTCCTGGGTTAATTGCCGGCATTTGATGGATGAAAACTGGAGGCCTGTGGACATAAAGTTAATATACATTTGTAAATTTGGACTTCAGTTCATGTATATTTATAACCAAGCCATTGTCATATTAATCCATTGGGTAGGAAGATACAAATTACATTTAAATTCTGCTACGTTATTCTGTACAGCTGTTGCACCAGCGAGTACTACAACTGACTGACAGACGACTGGAACCATGTTTTGTCATGTGTGTCTATCTTTAAGTGCCTACTCACTTACCTAATCACTATGAGACTTGATATGTTAGGCATTTAGGTTGTCACAGCATTAATTTCTACATTTACTATGTTGATGGGTTAGTGTGGTGGTGTTAAGGTGCAGTTGCAAGGTTGGGCTTGCAGCTGTGGATTATTATTAGCTTAATCGTAAACACAAAGCTGGCCTTTTGCCTCCCAGTTTCTAAAGGAATGCATTGGGCTTCCATGCGAAAATTTCATTCAACGTCTTTCATGCAAAAATACAGAGAAATGAGGAAATACCATTGTTTTCATTGAAGCTTAACCATTTTCATGGAGTATGTTCTGTGGGATTTGGAAGTTCATTACAGTGTTTACAGGACACTATCCTGAGTTTTGTTTCCTCCCATCTATGCTTAGGTCTGTCAAGTTTTCCCCGGCAGGTTTTTCGAATGAAATTTTGAATGATTTCTCATATCTTCCATGCGTTCTGCATGCCCAACCCATCTCATTCTTCATTTTATGTTCCTAATTAGTGAAAAGTGCAAATTATGTAGCTCCTCAATATGTACCCTCAGTTTCCTTTCTCATATCCTTGACATCCTGTTCCCAAACAACCTCAGTGTATGTAACTGTTACTGTAGTGTATTCCAAAAGCATAGTCGGAGTGTACAGTTGACGAATCGTCCTTTCCATTGACAAGAGAAAGTATTTGTAAAATACGTTTAACGTAGCAGTAATGCTGATCATGTGGGTATCCAGAGGAAGAGGAAGGGACAAGTAGTGAAGGAAATTTTGTGATTTTATATTAAGATTCGCGAGTTATAACTTCTGTGTTTTAAACATCTAATAGCACAAAGTGGATTGAACTGACTGAGGATATTTTCGTGTGGATGGCGATGATAAACCTCCGGTTTCCACAGGAACAGGAAGTGTGTCGTATATTTAATAACTACCGGTTATATGAGGAATTTTTGTTTGTTTTCGATTTGGTTAATTTGTCTGCTAGCCAGTCAGTTTATTTGCATTTTAAAATATCGTCAGTTAATAAATGTCCACCCCACAGATTATCTCGACCTCCAGATTTGGAAACTCTGTTTAGACTCTATATCATGGGTTCTTGAACATTTTGAGATCTTGGGCCACATTAACCCTTTCTTATATGTTTGCCGCCGGCTTATAAATGAGGTCAGTTTAAAGTGTTGCAAAAATGTTGCCGGGCCGCACAGAAGACTTCGGCGGGTCGTGGGTTGACAAACCCTCGTCTGGTCGCATTAATACGAAGGGTGTTTTGTCCCTGCAACGCGATTAGTCCAAATATTATTCTAAGCACTGTGTATGGCCGTGAGGATATTGTTCAGGAAATTTAATAAGCCCATATGACAGTAGAAATAAAATAAAAGGCAACCATCGTAAATGTAAGTACATACATTTCGGTGCAGTAATATTTAGAAATAGGCCTACTCATGTTTGAAATTATTGGTTAAACTAGAGATACAGCATACATTGCAGCAAAGCTATATTTCCATACCCAACTCTTGGGAGGGGAGCAGCACAAGAGATTTTTATAGACTTTTTGGGACTGGTAACAGAAAATTCGAAGACGTTGAACATTCATTTTGTGTTTTTGAGCTGGAAACATACTGTAGGTTGAATGGCTGAAGACATGTTGCCGATGATGGCATGGGAGCTTTTATAGCTATAGGATGAATAGAAAAGGACATTTAAGAAGTCGATGGAAACAACAGTTTGACACCGGGTTGTCTTGACCGTGAGGATTATTTTCTGTTAATAAATTTTCGGTTCAGCTGTGATGTATTTTGCATTGGTTCAAAAATGCACTGTATGACCCCACCTGTTAACAGTTTATCAGTCCGAAGCCGAAGCAGACAGCTGTGTAATTGGCTGCTGCAACATGAACTCGGGTCCAGAGGATCTTCCTTGCACATTTTCGCCAAGTGCGTAGTATTTGCAGTTTCTTGCCAAGATTACGGTAGGAGGCGGCCTTCAAGACCTTTTGAGATACCTGACCTCCAGTTTCGCGTTTTTACTCCGGGATTTTAGTCTATCTTCTCTGCGTGTTCAATATGTTTATTGATTGACTCTACTGCTCTACATTATTGGCAAAGTTCCTGGGCCGCAAGTCGTGAGTTTTCTGTAGTTCACCGCTCCAGTCTTGTAACAAGCTCGAAAGTTAAAAGAACTCGCAAACAGTGATGAAATTATATACCTTTTAATTATATATAATCACACAAAACTTAACATATAGTTGACATTGCGTCTGTCTCCTAAGTTCGCAAAACCGCCATGTTGACAAAAGTAAAACTGCTATTCAAATCGGAAAGTCGCAATGGCACGATATTCATGCCAAATTTTAAGAAAATGTGTATATTTGTGGCTTGAAGCTTTCACGTTGATTAATGGCGATAGAGCTTGCCTGAGAACATTTTGTTACCGTATCTGATTATGTTTCTCATACGAGGAAAGTCGGAAAGCCATTATTGTATTTGAATGAGTAATTAATATTTACTGCCAAACATTCTTTTTCTGTTAGACTGTTTGATCGTGCATCCGTTGTAACGGTCAGTTGAAAGTTAAAGGATTGAAGAAACATTCACACACATGCCCGTAAAACCAGCTTTAAAACATACTTCTAACAAGGGAATGAGGTCTAATTTTAAAGAATGTTTGTCAAGTTTTGAAGGAAAACGAGGCAACATGCCAAAGAGAATAGCAACTTACATGACGTCAGCTGTGAAGTACTACAATGGCGCTGGTTAGTTACGCCCTTTCTGCCATAAAATAACAATTAAAAGAATTAAATTAGACTGCACATGCTCTAGTGTACAAGGTGACAAACTATGATTAAAGTATGAGATTAGCTGACACTAAAACATATTCAGTGAGGCGTGGCTCGGCTAGAGTGATTCCCCAACCTTTGAGATTTGCCGGTGAAAAAAGTTACCTCTGGCTACAGAAAGGGATACGAGTTTCAGGTCGTACGAGATGCCGTACGAAATTTGTGAAATTCTTTCACAAAAGCACATAGGCCTGCTGTGCGTTGATTAATCTTACTACAGGGGAAGAAGCTCCTCATAAGTACAACTGTTGTGTTATATTGGCCTGAAATGTAATTCATGAAAAGATTAGAAAATAACTAATTATTCACAAACTTTTTAAAGAAGTAACTGGTTTTAATATTTTTGTAACTAATTTTTCCCCCATAGCATTGCAAGTCATATTGTGCAACGTGGAAAGATATTAGCCAATCCTCAGCGATATTCTTGAAACGTAGTGTAGTTGCGGAACCACTAAAGAAAATCAGTTGTGCTAACTCCTAGAGCTAATATATACACATTTGGAGAAGGGGGAATTGCAGAAAACTGCCTTTTGTAGCAACGGGGCCATTGTAAATATGTTGGGTCAGAGGGCATATAGCTATGAAGTTTACTCTGTCGGTGAAAAGTAGGATTTTCGTTTCACGTAAATTTTTTAATAATTTGTATTCAACTTGTATTAGAAGTAAAAAGCCTATATTCGCTATTGATGTTATAAATACAGCCCCTCCCCAAGTATTAGGTTCGTAATCATTGCGTAATGTCATGTGCTACATTGAATTTGAAAATATATATCCACTCATTTACTTTTCAGATAATATTGGAATCTGTATCTTGGATTATAGGAGCCTGACATATGAGAGTTATGCGCCATTATGCCTATTCAACACTGGTTTAAAATAGAATGGCACTGCGAAGCTGGGTTATGCCATATGCTAATAGCGGGTGAGCGCCAAACTTGGCTGGATTTCTGTAATGAAATAAAAAAGCAAGAGAATAGGAAAGGAAAGTAACGAAACACAAGGAAAGAAGGAAAGCAAGTGAAGAAATAGTCACCTTTTAGGTAGATGGGTGACCGGGTGGGTGGATAAGTATCTGTGAATAAACGGATAGGGGCAGTAATGTGTTTCGGGCTTGGATTTCTAGTGATTTTTGGAAGTCGATTTTATGGAACGTCTGGCAGAGGCGCCGTGGTTCTTTATCATCTTATAACAACCAATTAAGGTAATTAATGGATTATCACTTGAAAAATAGATTTGTTTTGTAAAATTTGCCTCTTCAAACTTCAATTGAAGAGAATGTTTACACCAAACGAGTTTTCCTGAGCAGCTCATAGATGAGATGTTTCCTGCTAGAACCCGTCGTAACAGAAGCTCGCTATCTGACCTTATCCTGGTCCAGTTTAACTAAGTTTTCGTATTCAAATCTAAATCTGCCTTTTATGAAATCAAGATCTCTCATGTTCAGAGGAATCCGCCACGGGACCCTGTTCTGAGCCAACTGAATCTGGTTTATACGTCATAATTTACTGAGATTCATTTTAATATTACTCTAACATTTTTTAATATAAGCGTAATGGAAATGCCCGATGGCGAGGTGAAGGAAGAAATGGAAGGTCCAGTTTTTGGTACCTTAAGAAGTAATCGGTAGAAGAGAAGGATGAGGATTAGACATTGTTATCCTCAGTGTGAAGGATCACCTACCTTTCTGCAGCAATGAGATGGTTGTCACGGCAACACAAACACTGTATGGTCTCCACACTAACAGAAACCCAACTGACTGCACCCAGCTTCTGTGAGGGCTATGAGAAAATAGGTTGAGAGGGGGAAGGGTAATTTTTGGAAAGTGTCGCTATCTATTTCGGGGGGTGGGGGGCATTCAACACAAAACTGCTTTAGCTCTTCGTCATGTGACGTCAGAGGCGCAGGAAGTTCTTGGCCAACTGTGCGTTTCATATATATTTTTGTTCCTACTCTTGTTCCCATCGAAGCTTCCCGAGGCAAGTTTTGCTGCTTTGTGTACACTTTATGACTGTGGAGGGTTTATTTTTGGCTCTAGTTCGGTGACTATTGGGTAACGACTGCAGGTTTTCGGGACACTGGCACAAGCAAGTTTACTCGTGTTGTCCAGTCGGCAGGATTGCATTTCATTGAAGGATAGATGTTCTTTCGTACATCATCATTATAATCATAATCGGCATTGCCCCAGTGGCGTGCACGGCTGTAACGCACCTGACTCCAGTTCGGGAGTCGACCACTTCAAATTCCGGCCTAGACTGGCTATCCTGGGTCTATTCGTGGACCTTCTAAGTCTCTCCATGCTAATTACGGATGAAGGCAAAGTTGTAACTGGAGCTTAAGCACCACGCGATACAAGCTTATGTGGGAGTGATTGTATTGTTCCACACGTTCTTAACCTCGGCATTGGATGGGGGCGAGTGGTTATCTTCACGCTCCGGCCACTTTCCGCCCTAGGAAAGAATCCCGGTCCCCATTGGGCAAGAGGCCGGGTGGGCCCCAAAGTCGATCTGGACGTGGCGATGAAGACGAAAATCCTGATCTCCGGGTACATTAGTACATTAAAATGGATCATATTACGATATTCCAGTATCGAGATTGGTCACCTGGCCAAGATTTATCGCGAGTTCAGTTACTACCGTGTTTTATTCGACGCTACGCAAAATAATCTTTCTCAAATTTGTTGCAAGTTACTTCTTGTCGAATTTTAAGGAACGCGTCATGTTACTTCTTATCATTTGCCTGAGCACAACGCCATGAAAACGAAAAGGGGGCGTAAAGTTAAGCCTGTTGCATATGAATCATGAACTTCAGCACTAAATGAAGGCGAGTGGTCGGCTTCATGCTCCGGTCGCGTCACCCCCAGTTTCCTCGCTATAGATCGATCTCTGGCTTTGTGGAGATTACAAGCTTGTGGATATTTTAATTTGCTTGGAGACAAAATTAACATTATTATTCTCAGTGAGGATGAAGTTAGTAATCTCTTTAATAATCCAGTGTTTTGATTGTTATTCCTTACAAGCATTTGCATATCAGTTAATCGTGCTATAGATTTATAAGTGATGCAATTACTATATGTGTTATAATTACGTTTTAAGTTATTTAAAATTATTACTTAAAGTTAACAGGAGTCAGGGTCAGCGCGAAGTCTTCAGAAGCAGAAGCCACCGATCGAATTGTCTCTTCCGTGGCCTACCAGTTGATCTTCCTCTGGAATAGTTGTCATGTCTTGGTGAACGGCATTTGTCCATTCCGTCTGTGGGCCTATTTGAGATTGTCGAATCTTGTCGTTTAATTTTCATGTCTCTGTTTCTTACAATGTCGTGTCCTCACTTTTTGTATCTGTCGAAGAGAGAATAACCGTGAGATTCATCCTGACACTCTGTATCATATTTGATTTTGGTCACTTTTTATCATCATCTTTGTTTCGTTGCCATAAATTAATGTTGTTCCTGTTATAGTTTTATTTTACTTTTCTTTCAATGTATTTCTAATTCTTCCTTACATGTGGTTAAAGTTTGAAAATTTTATTATGTGCGTCGTCCTCAGCTAGAAATGATATTTGGCACAGAAAGAAATTGAAAATTTAAATTTGTTTTGTCTGTGTTATCTGCGGGCCTAGGTCTTTTTGCTTTTACATTATTTATATTTTGTTATATTTTTTCGGTAGTTTTTTTGCAATTGACTTTTCTGCTCCTATCAAACACTTGGTTAAATTCATACTTGGCCCTGCAGGAGCGTTGATTGAGGCGGATATGTGATTGAGCTAAGTGCTGCTGGTGTTATTGAGTGGGTCCCAGTGGGGCCAAGTTTTGATCTCATTGAAAAGTGCTGCGCCTGGACATTCAGTGTTTCGGGTCTGGCTGTGTCCCAAAAGTTTGTACTCTGGTGATATGGAACCGCGCTCCACCCCACATTCTATCAAAGACTTGGCTGCGGATAGCATCTCCGGTGTCGGCAGCTCAGCTGAAAAAGGAAAATAATTCTGGTATTAATATATATGTAAGAGTGCTCTGAGATATTCCCGCAGGCATGCGCCTTAGCAGCATAAATACGGACGCCACGATATCTGATTTTGTGTTGTGTTTGAATACTTTTCGGCATTGTGGCTCAAATTGTTCCTATACATTTGTGAAAACAATTTATGTTTCCCTGGAATCAGTTGTAGGAAGTGAAATGTGTTATTTTCGTTTCTTAAACTTGTAGCTTAGGAAATATTATAAATGAGTACATGGAAATGGTCTAGATACTTTTTCGGAAACAGTCTGGTGAAACTGTTTTTGTTTTCTGTCAGACTTTGTGTTCATGAGTCTAAGCCATCGCCTCAGGTTCCTAATTCACGCTGTTTTGTGGCGATTTGTTTAGTGATCAGCACAGGTACGTGAACTCGAACTGACTTACTGCGAAAATCGCCTATGAAGCAGATGCCAGTACTGTTACTGTTGTACTTGGGTGTGTGGGTCCCTACCACGTCCCATCCTCTTCCCTCGTACACCTTACCTGTACCACCAATGCAGAAACTGTGAGGACAATTAAATATTGTATTCATTAGTTATTATGTTTTATTGGATATTTGAGTTCACCGCAGTGATTATATTAACCAAGTACGCAATTGCATGCGTAACTCGTATATTATGCGACCAAACTTAAAAATTGTGTAGTTAGTAAATTGCCGACATTTTTGGAACTAAAAGTTCGTTACCGTGTTCGCAAAATCCCGACGTTGGACTCTATTCTGAGCTATTGAATCCAGCCCAGATTTACACTGACGTAAGGTGCGAAGTGACAGGAGGCCGGAGAAATTGTATGAGGAGCCTCATAATTTGTTCTGTACAGGAAATATTATTAGTTTGATCAAATTGGATGGGATGGGTGAGAGCGATGAAATGTACGAACGTTTTGGCGGGTAAAGCTGAAGGGAAGAGATCACTTGGAAGGCCTAGACGCAGATAATATGAAATTGTCTTTAGGAACTGGGCGGTACTCCATACGTTTTGTGTTATAATTAAGTTCTTTATGCAATTTTTCGGTCTTCAGTGTGTGGCGTGAAGCCTGATCGCGAAACTGCGTTATATCTCAACAGTACGAAAGCTGACCTTCCTAGGCTCATTTCTCAAGAACATGTTAACTTCACCTTGTCCAGCGTTTGAAGGAAATATCCATACATCCGACCTTTTATTCAAGACGTACCTGGTTCGAAATTTAACCGGGTTACCGGCCGTACTTACTGAGGTATATTTTGGTTTTATTCAGTTGTTCCATTTAAATCCGGGATTGAGAGAAGCTATTTCCGGTTCCTTTCTAATCACAGTTTCCGTATAATTAAACATGTTTAACACATTTTTAAATAGTCTAAGAATCGTAGGATTTGGGGTTTTCACAGGGGTGAGTCTGAAGATGGCCGTCTTCTGAGTCGTTTCACCGTGTAGTCTGGTCATCGCCCTGTTGGTGGAGGCAGCAAGGACCTCTGAAACGTCGGTAAACTTCTACCAGACTACACGGCCCAACAACCCAGAAGACAGCCATATTCAGTTTAACAATTATTCATCTCTCTGCCCGTGCATTCATCCGTCTGTAATTAAACCTTTTAATTACTGAATGTCCTTGGTGAATTAATTAAACAAACTGTGACTCACAGTGTCAACATTGATACTCACTGATAGCCGATGTCGTGCCATTGGTTGGTGTTCTGGTGGTAGTTCTGCATGCTTCTCATTGCGGCCTCACAGGTCTGACTGGTGTTACAGAACCCGGGCAGAAACGTGTGGTGGATCACGACGTATGGCACCGGGAGGGAAGTCAGGACCACGATGCTAACTGCGGCCACTGCGCCCCAGTCTGCACGTGGCACGATCTCAGGACATGCGGTCACTGCACCACAATACTATTGGCTATAATATATTGGTGACAGAAATTCATTTGCAGCTAGGCAATGCAGTTACTGCTGTCAGGAACCTTGTACGCACGCTGTTCTCTGATTGAGTAACGAACGTCAATGTATGGACCCAAATGAGGGTTACGCAAGCCCTCATTGTCACCTGAAAATCTCATCAGGACATTTGTAATGGTAAAAAGTGGCCATGTTCACTAAATATTTTTAGGGTGATCAAGTCACTATATGCAACGCCCAGGGCATATAGTACTCATGAGAAAGGAATACAAAATGTTGGTTGTAAAGTTGGAAGGGAAGAGATCACTCAGCGCAGATGGGAGGATAATATTAGTGATCATTTTACTTCATAGAAGGAAATGTTCTCTCGGGCCTTCAAGTAAAGTCACCTTCCTGATTGGTTGAAATATTGTACAAGTACCAATTTAATTTCAATAGTAACCCGTTTCGTTCTGCAAACGGGATATCTTCTCCATGGGGCAGCAGCCACGTGCGCTCTGAATAAGTAGCACCCTTCCTCACTCGGCGTAAAGAATGCCTTATTCTTATTGCCTGTGTTCATATGACGCAGCTGCCGTCTGTACATGTTCTGACCATGAACCGCCATTCTCCAGTGCATGACGATGTAAACAAGAAACTGAGTGAATCCCAGACACAAGGCCGTCAAGATGCTCCAGGCTAGAGTTCCTTTATAAGTAGCGTTATACAGCCAGTTTTAATTATAACTATACAAACAGAACCCACTGTGTCATGTACAGTATGTATCACAAAATGGCTGCAATATTCGACCTTATTGTCTAAAAGCCCATCCATTCATGAATAAACGGCGCTGTCTTTAGAAATTAAATTAAACAATCGGTGTTGATTAAATAAGGGGGAAATTGTAATTGCTACAAAACGCGGTATTCGTGACGCTTCACTTAGAAGTCTTCGTGTAGTGCAGTCTAGTAGGACACGAAGGGTTGGGCATGCAACTCGGGTGGAGGAGTCTGGCGTGGAAGCTTCTTTGAAGGAGATTGCTTGGAAGAGATCGAAGAATATGAAAGTACAAAATTATAATGAATCTTACTTAAATTAATTGAGACTGCAAAGAGGATGAAACTAGCTGAGGATCGTGTCCAGTGGAGTTCTTAGTCTTATCTTCAGCTTCTTGTTTTTAAACACCTTCAGTATATCAGAAGACTTTTGAGTTGCCGCGACGTATTCTTTTAGTTTTTGCATCTTCAGGGTTGAAGTAACTTCAACACTGAAGATCGCGGTATCAGCCAGAGGATGGAGACAGAATGCTCCTTCGAAACGTTGGTATACTCCCAGAAAACTACACGGCGCAACAAGCAATGAGGTCCGTTTTCTCGCTCTGTCGTAAAAACATCAAATTCTACCCTCAAAATTTGTTTTTCCCTTTAAAGACCTTTGATAATTATTTTTTTTAAATAGCTTTGTGTTTTTAAAAATTAAGATGTATGTGCACTGACCTTTTAAATGTTGATTAAGAGCGTATTAATATATACGATTTTATGTTCACTTACTTGCTAGATGTGTAATGAAGAGAACACATAGAGTGTTCTTAATAATTCGTCGCAACATATTCGCTGGTATGCTGCCTTCAGCGTAAGGATGCTCGCCGAGTATTGAGTTTGTCCCAGTGTAGCTTGTAATGCTTATTACTGTAAGAGCGTGTTTTTATGTGGTGACGTCATAAACACATAACAACTCTGTCCTGGGGGTAATCCCCTTTTAACAGCCTTTAATAATCTAGTTCCTCTTCCTTCAAGATCATTTTTCTTGGAAGCTGCGGATGTTTGTAGAATAAACTGCCATATTTTGTAGTTCTTAGACATTTTAATCGTAAGTTATTTCACGTCACAATGTCAGTAGTAAATGTTATCTGCCACTGTATGAGGTAAGAGGATTGTTACGTGCGGTGGATTACAGTGTGACCTTTTGAAGTCAGCAGGTATACCGCAGTTGACCCGGAAGTATTTAAAAATTAATGGGGCTGCAGATACATTGAAAAGAGTCAGAAATTGTTTCCCTTTTATTTAGTTATATGTTTGCCGCATCCAAAAATATAGAAGATAAAAGCTGTTGATCTGTATTACGTATTTGCATAAGATGAACTGTGTTTGCTCCTAAGATCTCACCAATGGTTAAAAGAAGTAAACTTACCAGTGCTCTTGTATGTGGGAGTCGGTAATTTTTAATTGTGTTGATGTTCAGAGTTTTTGTCTGGTTTTTTTTTCGTCGTAAACCCTAACGCCGAATAATTACTGTCAAAATGTCTGTAGAAATCGAGTGGTTGATCTGAGTGACGTGAATGTCAGACGTTTTGGCGCTTATGTTTGTTTTCGTGCACTTCAGAATACAATGTTTATTGTGAACGTGTTTTAAGAACATTTTGGCTAATATTTCGAACAAAGTAGCAGTATACTTATGCTTTTTTGGGGGGAAGGCGGAGAAGTATACATACATTTTGTTTTTGTCATATATTTTTCGACTTTGGTTTAGCAGATAAGTAATTTTTGAAAATATTTTAAATAGTATGTGCCTAATAATATCGATTCTTGGTTTTCATATTTTTATGTAACAGACCGATAAATTTAAATATTCTTCCTCCTTTCCTTATTTTCGTTTGACTTGCAGTTTAGAAGATAAATTTGGCTCGTGTATATTTTTCAGATGTCTGTGGCAGATAGTAGAAATTGTGGAACAGGCTGCCATTTTACACACTCATTTCCAAACGTTTTAAAATTATTTTACGGGAAACGTAATTCGGGGGTATGAGCTGTATTTGTAGAAGTGTAGTAGCTTGTAAAAGGTCTATCATTTTTATGAAGTGATCGTCGTAATTTTGAGTAGTTAAAGACATTAAATAAATAATTGAATTTTGAATGGACATTCCTGGGGCATGGTAATGGCGTTGTGGGAACAGAATCGAAGATCTTTCATATTACTGTAGCAAAAGGTATTGCCTGCATTATGCGCTAAATAATATGGTAACGATGAAGCGAATAGCGTAATATAGTTAGCATGAACCAACCTATAACGAGTTGGACCAAAATATCTATAAATTTTGATTACAGACGCCAAATAAACTGACGTGGCCATCTTGCCATCGATAATAAATAAATTTATTACGCCATAAGATGCATTTGCATTGCAATAATCTCTGTGAGGTATAGAATATACATTTAAAAGTTTGTAGGAACAAAATTGCTGAATTTTAAAATGATGCGAAGCCATGTGTTGTGAACAGTGAATGAGGAACTTTGATTTAAGGCTTTTGTATGTATGTTTCTGTGTGATATAAGATGGATGCAAGTAATATTAATGGACTGGCTCATTTATTTAAAAACTTACCACTGTTGGTAATAGTACATGTTGTCTTTACATAACTTTCACAAATACAGTTACTAACATAATATCATAGTGGTTAAATGTGCATTTTCATCCTGCTGACAAGTTAGCTATAGCTAATGAATTTTACTGTTTAAGATGCATTACTTTTGTACACTATAAAACGTTTCGTTTGGCTAGTTTGGAGACTCCCCAGTGAGGTTATTACAAATAAAGCAAGACTTGAAGGTTTAATTATGACAGATTGAGATATACATAAAGGAAATATTTCGTATAAAGCTCTTCCAATTTAATTTCTCTGCATAAAGATAGTATAACCTTGTGTTAATTATGGATATAGTGATCATCGGGAAGTAGCTGCGATTTCTTTGAACGTTTTAGTTGTTGTGGGAAACGGTGCAGAATTAACCTACATTTTGGATATGGTGTTATTGTCTCTGTCTTCATTACGAATAAGTTGCACGAAGAGTCGGCTAATCACCAGAAAAGAACTTGTGCCATTATTCATAAACCAAACACAAGGCACTTGGTTTTCATATCCCAGCTCCATGAACCATAACTTGGGCCTTACTTTCCCATCATTCAGTAAATAAATGCAGCCGTCATAATTGAACATTTCAACACTAAAACTGATCGATGTGTGCAAGTGGAACATTGAATTCGCTGAAATTTTATTTTAACGTATGGGATTATGAAAATGTTTATTAGAGTATTTAAAATACATTTATAAATATACGAACTTATTTAGATCCGCCGAAAGTAAAGGATGTATCGCTTTATTTAAAATGCTAATTCTTCCATTTTTGGGCGATGGCTGTGCGTATCATTCACTGTTATGCAGAGAATCGTTACAGTGATATTTTCGGCAGTTACGCTGTTGTTACGTCTTGTTCTGAACACGTGTTTGTTAAAAATATCATGTAAGGAACTTAACCATAATTAAATTATACGTAAATTGTGAAAGGAGCACTGGTGTTGTACCGGGCGAGGTATTTAGTTTCTGACTAAAATAGTAGGAACTAGCAGTTTGGAAGTAGGCTTGTTTCTCTCCTTTCAGTGTTATCAGAATAGAAATAATTATTTATTAATACATGTTATATTTGTCTTTGGGATGCCCCTAAGTAATCTGCCCGTTTTCGATGGGATAGAGCAACGAACTGAACATCTGGAGCCTGAATACAAACTTCGGGTCTTAAAAAAGTTGTAATTGATGAAAGAATTTTCTAAAATGCTAATAGAATTTTCTATTCACCAACAAAGAAACGCCATAGTTCTTATACCTTTCAAGCTGAAGCTCTTCTAAATAATATTTAATAAATCAGTCCGTACCTCAAAGAAAAACACTTCTCTATTACAAAGATCAGTTGATTAATGCTGTGGGCAAATGCAAAGTTATTGATGATTAAAAAAGATGAGCTATCCGTTCAAGCAAGACTGGAAAGGCAGCAAGCTTATTTACAAACGAATAAATTCATTAACATTACGGTGATCTGTGTTATCTTGGCCACACATTTGAAAATACTACCTGACTTTTGTAAGTGATCAATATATATATTAATATTAAGTTAAATACTGATTATATATTCTGCTGTTGTCATGGCGATCATAAATATTGGTAACTTCAAACACACGAAACTGTTGCAGAGAAACTGGAAAGAAATATTGTTGAACTATTAATTTTGTTTTATACGTTGTTTGGGCAAAAGTGGCGTGAAATAGAAGAAAATTAGATCCAAGAAAGACAAAAGGTTGTTCTTTTTAACAAAATATGATTGTATGAACTTCTTCTGTCAGAGTTCTCAAGGATAGATCCAAAAATCCTGAAGAGGAGCTATGGCATTCGATTGTATTGATATTCTTCTCCTTGATACATACGTGTATATCACCGAGGGGTCTCACCCACCCGAGATTTGCAGTGTATGACGCCCCTCTCACATACCGAGACCACTGACAGCAATTGTATCTCAATACCCTGATTTACAGTTTCAGTCCTAGGTCTGTCTGAAGCACGGCTGGCTCGAATGTAGCTGAATAAGTAGGCCTGCACTTCCAAAAGGAACATATGCCATACTGACTCCTGCTCGTGAGAAACTATGATAATTGTCGCCTTGTATTTTGAGTCTGTGGCTTTGTTTCTGAATGCTGTCAGGGATCATGACTAGGTATGAGGGGGTCAGTTGTAGAAAGTGTGGTGGAGCCACTGCTGTTTAGACAATTCGAAATGGTACAGGCACTGAGATGTTATTGCTTAGGGACGGGCACTACGTCCTGAAGTGGGTCCCAATGAGGCCATGTGGTGATGTTTTCGTAGAACGTGTCTCCAGGGCACAGTGTATTCCGAACTTGACGGTGTCCCAGAAGTTTGTAGTCCTCTGCTATGGATCCTCGGTTCACCCCGCATTTGATCAGATCTTTAGCTGCTTCCATCATTTCGGGTGTCGGCAGCGAGTCTTTGAAAGTAAGAGCACGAAATATAAATTAGCTGCCAGGTATTGCAGTTCGTCAGGGAACTTGTTTACTATGTGCTCTGGGCTTGGAAAATACAGGCACCTCTTTGCCTGTGTCGAGTCGGTTAGGATAGCTGGCGAGGAGAAATTCACACCAGTGTAGTGTGTGCGCATACTTAATACATTCCGAACTTACTCATGAAATCACCGATGAAACAGATGCCGGTGCTTCGATTGTTGTATCGAGGTGCATGGGCGCCCTGAATGTCCCATCCTCGGCCCTCGTACACCTCCCCCGTTTCACCCACACAGAAACTGTGGAGCAAGAAGACAAGGGATCGATCAGGCATGGGCAGTCTTTAAGTAGCCTCGGGCCGGATCTATTGTTCTCAAGTACATGTCATACAAGTATTATCAGTAGTTGGAAAAAATGTCCGAAATCGAAATTGTAAAACTTTATGTGGACCGGATGAAAAGTGACGACGGACCTGGGATTGCTCATGCCAGATATCGACTTTAAACGATAGGACCTTTAAAGCAAGTAACATATGGTTCGCAGTAATGCAACATATTATTGTTACCGGTAGAAAATATTATGCTCTTTGATATAAATATTGTTAATCTGAATGCATGATGTTTTTCGACAAGAGTAGTAGTTTTATTTTTTTTAAAAAAAAAAAGTCCAGACCGATTCCGGAGGAAAGACTGCAGGGGAAGGGTTCTTGGAACGTGCATCTGACCGCTCATCTTCTTCTGAGGCTGAGGTTAAGAAGAATACACGAAGCGTGGCCTCGAGTCCCCCACAAATCTGCATGGCAGAGGCACGGAGACAGGTTTACGTTTACCTGCCGTCATTACGATGAGGCTATTAATTGTTCAGACCTAACTTCACGATGCTGATGATAAACAAGGACGTGATGAGGATAGAATTCAGTACCTCATACTTCATTCTGCGTCATATGATGTAATGGTAACATTAATTCGAAGTTCGTCCCTGTTACCAGTTCTCGTGGTTTTCCTCAGTCCATCAAAGCGGTACCAGGATAGTGCCCTCGCTTCTAACTTCCTACTTATCTTCCCGTATCGATATTCCGTACCAATCGCCGTTTTCCATATGTATCAGTTTTGCTGACCGCGATATTTGGCTTTTCAAGTACATTTGTGTAGCTTAGATCGGTGGTTTCTGCATTAAGAGGTCCACGTTACTGGAGGAAGGACTGTAATGGCAGCAGAAACCAGTTTTCTACCTTCCAGATTACCAACCGCACCTTTTCACAGGAACGTAGGTCTAACTCCTGCGGTTGGCGAGGGATTGCTATACACCGCATTAATTTTGACTTTCGTCTGATATTGGGAAATACGGAAACGACTAGGACCGCGTCCATTCGCCCTGCTTCTGAGTGTCTGACTGTACAACTTACTTGTATCCTATATCGAACCAGCCCCGCAGGTCTTGGTGCATGTGTTGCATGCTCCTCATCGCCTCCTTGCACTCCTCGCTCGAGTTACAGTCTTTAGGTATGTACGTGTGGTGTAAAATGACGAACGGAACCGGCAGTGATGTGATGTTGTCTCGCTGTTTGGCCGGTTTGGCACTCCACTCTGCTCGGGTCACGATGTTGAGACACGAGGCATCCCGTCTTACAATAGCACCTTCACTCACTGAAATGTTAAAAGCATTGTATCGTCATTTGGATGTGCAGGAAGTAGAACGTGTTGTTGAAGCCTCGTCGTACCTTTGTCTCAACCTCATCTTCCAGTGGGACACTCTTGCTTTCATAAACGAGGCCGTGGAGACCGAATTAGCCAGGGTGGTATAATCATTGCACCTGGTGTAGGGGAATGTCCCACTGACGAACTGTGATGTTATGATTGTTTTACTTGTTGAGGGAGACTATGCCACCACCAAATGCAGATGTAAATTAGTTAATTCTACTTTTACCCATCGTTAAGGTGTATCAAGAAACAACGTTTCGGAATGTGGTTCTGCTTCGGTCTTGAGGTAACAGGACAAAAGCGTGTCTGTTGGCCCCCTTGGTCAAGCTAGCTTCAAGTAAGAACTAACTCGCCCCGGGGGGGATATGGTTTTGTCCTCCTGTTACCTGAAGACGGAAGCGGAAACAACTTCCGAAACGTGTTTTTCCAAACTAGACGATGCACGAAGTCTAAAAAACAAATTTACACGTGTCTCACCGTTATGAGAAACGTTTAAACTTCGATCACCAAAATTTAGTTTAACATTTATCCTGCAGTCTGCAGGTGGTGTTGGTATATGCAGTGAGGACA